TCTTCATATTTGTTTACTAGTTGCTGTAAGAGAGCATATAGAATTATCCCTTCCTTAAATTCCTACTGTCATTTTAGAGTTCAAACTGCACTACTTCATATTAATAAAATGATCCTTTGGTAGTGTTTTTCTACTCCTGCTCATTCTTTGCTTGAACTTGATGCATGCTACGAACACTAAATACCATATCTGAGTTGTTAGTGGCCTTTGGTGAACTAAGAGCAATTTTAAAAGATAGATACCCATATCTTCATTATTTTCTTTTTTCTTTACATTTTGAAATTTATTTGTGTGTGCAAGTGTGCATGTGTGTGCATTGTATATGTGGGTATGTACACATGCATGTCACAATGCACATTGGGGTCTAAGGACAGGGTTCAGGACATTCCCTTCTTTCCCCATGTGAGACCTGGGCATCTAATGGTGATAGTCCAGCCTTGTGCCATCTGGTTAGTACCATATTCATCTTTTCTGGTGTTCGTGCTGGGTTTTGCGGGTACATCTCAATTTCAACATGGTGTGGGGTTTTTTTTTTCCTGTGTTTTGCTTTTGCCTTCCCTCAAATTAAAAACTTTATGCCGCAGTAGAAGTTCAAGTCTGCAGGCATAGTGTGTGGCTAGGTTTTGTTCATGGGCATATATTTGCTCTCCCTTGGGTTTCAAGTGGTGTACTAATGGGTGTTGAATTCTGGATCAACAAGGATGTTTTGCTTCTCTAATTCATCCTTTCTTTTCCTTTTTTTTAAACTATCTTTCACTCAGGCTCATTACTTCCTCTGCCTTCCACATGCTGACTCCTCTCCCTGGACTGTTCCTTACCCAGCATCAGCTTGCAGACACATTGTTATCAGACTTCTCATAGAGCCCACTGAGTCGAATTAGTGATGCCCCCATGGGGAAGAGTGTGGGGCCATACACTGGACCAAGGCCAACCTACCAGGGCCCGTATTCCCAAATACAACTGATTCTTCCTTCCCCAGCAGGCATTAAGTGCCAATTGCTCCTCATCTAGGGATGGGGCCCTGAGGACCCCTCCCCCCATTCCTTGCTGGATCCTGTTCAGGTCTTATTCAGGTGACCACAGCTGCTGTGAGTTCGGGAGCGCTACCCCTGCCATGTCCAGTAGACACTGTTTCACAGAAGTCCTCCTCAACCTCTGACACATACATTCTTTCTCTGCCCATTCCTCCATGATGTTCCCTAAGCCTTGGAAGGAGGTAGGTGAGTCATATTTAGAGTGGAGCACTCTACCATCAAGTATTGACCAGTTGTGAGTCTGTTTACTACTGTCTGTAGACAAATTTCTAAGCAGTCTTATTACATTAAAAAAAAAAAAATGGAGCCAAATATAGGGGTGAAATCCTTAGAGATCAAGGAAATAGGAAGAGCCACCAGCCAACCTTAACTCACCAGCTCTGCAGCTTCCAAATGTGCGAGCTACTTTCTGTCGTACCTGCGCCTTTATTGCCTTGCTTTTCTGCCCTCCCATTGGCTCTTAGCCCAGATACCTCACTTCCTTGTCACTGCCTGTATGTATAGACCTCCATGTCTCTATGGTTGGTACCAGCCTGTCTGTATAGACCTTCAGGTCTCTATGGTTGGTACTGGAATTAAAGGCGTGTGTCACCATTCTTGGCTCTGTTCCCAGTGTGTCCTTGAACACACAGGGACCCTGCCTGCCAAGTGATTGGATTAAGGGTGTGTGCTACCACTGCCTGACTTTTATGTTTACTTAAATGGCTTGCTATTTCCTCTGATCTCCAGGCAAACTTTATTTATTAACATACAAATAAAATATCACCACATTTCAGCACAAATAAAATATCACCACAGCTGTCCAGTGCAAGAGTAGCTTCCCTTTGAAGGACTAGGAGTGCCCTCTCTGTGCCCAGAGCTCAGAGGTCCTTAACTCATAGTTTGCCTTTCTCTCCAATAGCTCTATAAGGAAACATATGGTGCCTTATTATTTCCAATATCCTAGGCATTCAGCAAAATACCTGGCACCATAATATAGGCTCAGTACTGTTTCTCTAATGTACAGTGAATGCAGCTGAAGCCATGTGGACTCTAGTTTTACTAGACTTGAAAAGACACATTGAGGCGTCACATTCTGCTAAATTCTCCAAACCCATCTGTTTTTATAAACACAGTGCTGGGAAATATAAATACAAAGTCACGTGTCTTCAAGAAGATCCTTCTGGATCGTCCAAGTCAGAAACTCTCTGTCTTCTTCCCACATCATCCTACTAGACTCCAGGGCTTTAGGATGCTATTAATGTGTTATTGTGCTGAAATGGATTCAGTAAGGAAATTGACATTTTTGATTTAATAATTAGATTCTCTAGTTCCCTGAGGGAAAAGAGCCATATAATTCCAAAGCAGTTAGGATTTCAACTAAGTATTAAAAAAGCCCCAAGTTCCCACTGAGAGTGCCACGTCTTGTGTGTGGGAGGTTCCTTCTACCTTTGTTCTTATGTATGCCCACAGCCTTGCAGTCCATTGTCCCTGCAGTTTGCATTGCGATTAAGTACCTGCCATCCCCAGCCCATGCCTCGGTTTGGCATCAGAGCACAAGACTACTTCTGGAAAGCAGCAGATCAGAATATTTTTTTAGATTTGTTGATGTTCTTAAAAGTTCCCAGTTTTAAACATAAATATTTATGCCTATTGCCAAACTGAACCTCCGTTATTTTTTTTTTCACGAGGAGCCCTTTGATTAGTGTGAACTCTAAGGAGAGCTCACACACGGCAGTTACTGTTTATTATGAAAAGATTGATGGAGACCTCTTGAGGGAGTTACTGCCTGAAGCCGGATTTCATATTTTGATTCTATGCATAAAAGAGCAGCATGGACCAGGCCTGGATAAGCATCCTGACAACTTCTATACTGGCTGTGATAACTTATAGCCTCTGGGTTTGGGGAGCAGGATAATCCTTTTGCAGTGGAAAGACTGTGCAAGCTCAGCTCTTTTTAATGGAGCAACTTAGTTTTCATTCCTAAGATCCACCTTAGCTGATCCTAAGTCAGGCTTCAAGGAGTGTGAGAAGTCTGATCTGATGGGCGAAGTCGTGGAGTTTTGTTCTTGTTTGTCCTTTTTTGTTTGTTTGTTTGTTTTGTTTTGTTTTGGGAGGGGGCACCTATTTCCAGACAGGCTTTCTCTGTGTTGCCCTGGCTGTCCTGGAACTCTCTCTGTAGACCAGGCTAGCCTTGAACTCACAGAAAATCCACCTGTCTTTGCCTCCTGAGTGCTGGAATTAAAGGTATATGCCACCATGCCTAGCTGTTGATTGAGTAGAGGGTAGTATGGGGTTCTGGTTTGAAACACATTCTGACTCTATGCATAGCTTACTGAACAGAACCTATAGAACAGTGGTTCTCAACCTGTAGATCGCAACCCTTTTGGGGGTCACACAACCCTTGCACAGGGTTGCACATCAGCTATCCTGCATATCAGATATTTGATTCATTATGATTCATAACAGTAGCAAAATTACAGTTGTGATTTAGCAATGAACTAATTTTGTGGTCGGGGGTCACTGCAATGTAAGGAACTGTTTTGAATGGAAGAGTTAGGAAGGTTGAGGACCCCTGCCACAGAGGTTTTTCCTGGGTAGCTGCTTGAGGTCAGACCCACACTCTAAGGCACTGTGCTGTGAACTTTGACTCTTTGCTCACATTGCTGATGTTCAGAGCAGGAGTGCTACCCCCACTTCATCAGCACAACTGCTGGCCTCTGAAGTCAGACTTCGAAGCAATTCTCCTTTTCCCACACTTCCCATTCCCATTGCCTCTGTGAGGGCTCATTCTCTCATGGCCTGAATTTTCAATGTCAGGAAGTCCTTTGCTCATCCACAGACACTGGACATTCCCACTAACATATCCAGGGCAGAGCAGATGTTCCCGCTGCTTATCACAAAGACATGTGTGGTGGGGTTCTTCCTTCTCCTTCCTGGAGCTTGGGGTTCGTTCTTTCTTCTCCTCACCGTGTTTCCCCTGGTCCCTCTGAGGCTGAGGATGCAGCGTGGATACTTAAGAAGCAGTGGGGAATGACAAGTTAAGTCTCAGAGACTGTGCAAACCGGCATAGGCTCGTCTTTCCTCGCAAGGGTCTCACGCTGACTAGGAGGCACGGCCGGCTTGTAGGATTCAGCATTAGCTTCAGCTTTTCTCCCTTTTAGGGGTACAGCAGGGGGAGGAATGTGCGCCATTGTGGATCTCTACCGCACTGGAGGGTTAATGTGATGTACATAATGCTGCTTGGTGACACCAAATTTTCCTTTGGTTAAATCAGTGCTCTGAAACACTCCAAGATTTTGCCAAATTCCTTGAAAGCAAACGGGCATCTTTTCTATTTCGGAATGCCTAGTGCCTAGCCCAAAGCTGATGTTGTCTTAATGAGGCAACTGAATAAAGAGGAGAATACATAGATGGTCTTAACTCTGATGGGAAGTCAGACCCCAAGGATGGAGTTTTGGTTCATTTTATTTCTATTGGTTACTTGCATTTTATAAGACAATCATAGTATCACACGGAGGTTAATAACATCTAGTGTTACACTTCAGTTCTGGTTTGTAAAGGAGATGGCAAAGGAATGGGAGAGGGTTTTTGTTTGTTTGGTTGGTTGGTTTTTTTGCTTGTTTGTTTGGTTTTTAATTTACTATAGAGATAGAAAACATAACTATATGACTTAGGGGAGAAAAGCAGCATACTTCTTGGTTTGAGTTAGAAAATTCCCAAAATATTTATCTTGAGTTCAGAGTCATTTGTTTTTATCCTTCAGCCATCTATAAACAGGACAGGCTGCCTCTAAGCACCTGCACAGTCCCACTTCTGCTGAGTCTGGTGGCTGGGCTCTAGAAGGATTGCCAGGAGTGGCCCTGGTACAGGGGACCCAGCGTCTTCTCTGATACCCAGAACTTGCCTCTGTGGAGATTCTAACATTCATCCGTCACCGGGCCTGATGGCAGGACGCAGCTAACCATGTCTGTCTGTCACCCACAGGTCTGAGGCGGACTTACAGATGCACCATCTGTAGTGTGTCGCTCAACTCAATAGAACAGTACCATGCACACCTGCAAGGATCGAAACATCAGACCAAGTAGGTACTGTTTCCGCTCTACCCCCATTCCCATCTTTCTGTGCCCACTCTTTATGTTCCCGCTTACTCTCTGTTCCCATTCTTTCTGTTCCATTCTTTCCCAGTTCCTCCTCTTTCCCTACCCCTACCCTTTCCCTATCTCCACTTTCTCTGCCCCCACTCTTTCCCTGTTCCCACTCTTTCCCTGTCCCCACCCCTTCTCTATCCCCACTCTGTTCCCGTCCCCACCCCTTTCTCTGTTCCCACTCTTTCTCTTTCCACTCCTCGGTCCTTCCTGTGGACTTGTTTTTGCAAGATCATTAAAACCAGACATGTTATTTATCTCAAAAAAGCAGACAGATATAGATTTTATCTTCTTATCTCCAAAGTCTCCTTGACATTTCTGTTCCTTGAGCTAGCCATCAAAATGTGCCGAGCGTTACTGAAGGAACAGCTGCTTCTCCCACTTCAGCACAAATAATGGGTTTTTTTTTTTCAAAAGTAATTCAGCCTGCTTTATGGTCTTGAAGAAACTTTCAGAACTATATTGTGTTTTTTAGTAACCAACGTGATCCCTATTTGTAGGCTGTATTAAACTTCTGTGTTATATGGTCAAATTCTGTGACTATCTCCTAGTGTATTCCCAGTCTGGGTATATGTTGTCAACTATTATGAAAACGTAACAAATTCCATGGTATATTTAATTCATCAGATATAAGTGCGTGCACACACACACACACACACACACACACACACCCGCACGCACGCACGCACGCACGCGCACACGTATTGTCAATTAAATAACAGCCTGCTCTGATTTGTTTGCGACCAGAAGAGCCTCAGATTTTTAAACTGGAACAGGCTGCAGGCTCCCTGCATCATCTCACCTCCCTTCCTGCATGCTTCCAGCATTGCTATCACCATGGCCAGCAGTGTGTAGGCAGCGCTGAGGCTGTTAAGAAAACACTCATACAATAGGGTATACGGAACAAAGAATGTCTCAAAAGGTTGGAATCTAACTAGATGCAGTTGTTTTCATTTCTAAATAATTCATCAAGAGAATCATTGAACAGAGCTGACTGTATTAAGGCCCCGTGAATAATTAACATCATCCAACAAACATTTATTGAGTGCCACTGTGTGTCAGACGTCCCTGTAGCTTGAGGACAGGTGAGTAGGTGTCTTCCTTTCTCTTAGGGAACCCCAGCCAGCTGGGAAGGTTGTTCTCAACAGTGTGTGCATATCAGAGCCATGAGAAGGTACTGAGGAAGGCATGAGTGAGGCCAGTTTTCCTAGGATGTTGGTACAGACGATACACAAAGGAATAGTTCATTTTTGGTGCTCAGCATGGATCTCCATGTTGAGAGGTGTCCTTGTTAGTTTTTGTTTGTTTGTTAACATTACAAGATAGAGTTATCTGAGTCAAAGGAACCTCAATTGAGAAAATGCCTCCATAATATTGGCCTGTAGGTAAGTCTGTGGGGGCATTTTCTTAATTAATGATTGGTGTGGGTGGGCCCAGCTCAATGCAGGTAGTTTCAGCTCTAGGTAAGTGGTCCTAGATGGCATAAGAAAACAGGCTGAGCAAGCCATGAGGAGCAAGCCAGTCAGCAGCATCTGTCCATGGCTTCTGCTTCAGTTCCTGTCACCAGGTTCCTGCCTTGTTTGAATTACTATCCCAAATTCCCTCAGTGATGGACTGTTTCCTGGAAGTGCAAATGAAATAAATCCTTTCCTCCCAGGTTGCTTTTGGTCATGGTGCTTGGTCAGAGCAATAGAAACCCTGACTAAGACAGGAATCTTTGATGGAATGGGTATGCAATGTCAAAACACGAGTTACAATTTCCCAGTCTATGTTGTGAGTAGGGACATTCTAGACAGGTAAGTCATAGGATGTCAGCCTCAGGTAAAGAAGTTGAGACCTAGAAATTGCTTGAAACAATTAGGAGAATTGCTTTCTCTTCATCAGTCCACTTTCTTGAGAGTCATAGCTTTTTTTGCTGTGATCTACCCAAGAGAGGATCTACATCAAAGGAAGTCTTAAAAATTTAACAACAGTGAAAATTCATGACTCTTTGTGGAATACCTACAGCTTCTGCATTCATTGATGGTATTGACTATTTCATTGTGTTCCTCAAGTAATCTCTTTTCATCATCTCTCTAATTATGTATGAGAGGCACTGTATGCATCTTAGTTAATCTGTGTCCAATGTGTAAGGTGACACAAAAGTATCTCTGTAAATTTATAATCTTTAGGAGCGTGCATTAATTCTTCTTAATAAATAAAAATGGCACAATAGTGACTTTTAAGTGGTATGTGATATACATATCACGATGCAGACGTTGTCTCCAGCTCCAGGAATCTATCTATCTATCTATCTATCTATCTATCTATCTATCTATCTATCTATCTATCTATCTATCTATCCATCTATACCTATAAAACTCTGTGGTATTTTTACACTAATTATCTCATTTCATTCATGTATTTACTCTAAAAAAGCATCATTGTATCATTATCCTTGAGGGGAAACTGAGACTCAGAGGTTAAGTACCTCTCCCAGCACTAAATTGCCAAGAAATAGCAGAGCAAGGACTGATCCCAGCAGGGTCTGACTTTAACTCTACTGACTGCATGTCACTCAGTTCCACAAACATGGGCCTTCAACAGAGAAGTGCCAGGAAAGAGCTTCCTGATGCATTTTTTACAAAGGAGGTACCACTTTACACATATGATTCAGTAGATACGTGTGACATCAGAAGAACACACCCCACTTGCTTACACATCTGTCTTCTGTGTGGTAAGCAGAACTCTGTTCCTCTGTGCAGAGTGAAATGGGGTGGGGGGAATGAACAAAGTAATTTCATGGTGCTGTCCTAGATGTTTGTTCTGGTTCCTCTTATGCTTAATTTGGGGATCCTTTGTATGTGTGCCTGTGCATGTATGTGTGTATGTGTATGTTCTTTGCATGTATGCTTATGAGTGTGTGTCCTTTGCATACATGCTTATTATAATTATGTATGTGTGAATTTCTTTCTCTGTTTATAAAAAACTTTGATTCTATTTTTTAAGACTTATTATTATTATTATTATTATTATTTGTGTATGTGTGTGTGTGTTCGTATGTAAATGCATGCCACAAGCATACAGGTGCCCACAGAAGTCAGGGGAGAATGTCAGATCCCCTGGAGCTGGAGTTACAGTCAGTAATAAGCTGTCAGATGTAGGTGTTGGGGATGAACTCAAGTCCTGTTTAAAAGAAGCAAGTGCTTTTAACTGCTGAGTCATTTCTCCAACCCCTGATTTTCATCTTAATATCATCATCTGCTGCTATTCCTTTCTCCTTTCTTGCTTGTCTTATTCTGGATACCAAACTCAGGGCCTCTGGCATACAGCAAAGCACTTGAGTCAACCTATATTCCTACACCCTTATTTTCTTAACAAACTAGAATTTTCTAAGTTTTAGTAAAGTCCCATGTTATTGGATGATTCTATCCTGACTTGCATTTCCAAAATAACCACTCAGAAGCATAATATTATTTATAAATGATTGGCTGATAGCTCAGGCTTGTTACTAGCTAACTCTTACATTTAAATTAACCCATAATTCTTATCTATGTTTAGCCACATGGCTTGGGACCTTTTCTGAGTACAACATTCTCGTCCTGCTTCTCTGTGTTTGCCAGTGACTCCTGACTCCACCCTTCTCCTTCCTGTCATCCTTAGTTTGGCTGCCCTGCCTATACTTCCTGCCTGGCTACTGGCCAATCATTATTTTACTAAACCAGTTTAAGTGATAAATCTTTACAGTGTACTAGAGGATTATTCTACAGCACAATCTAGCTCATTAAATCTCTTCTTTATAGCTTAAGTTATTTGAGTATGAGTTGAGATTGTATACTCATCCTAAGGTTATCAAGATAAATTTCCATGTTACTATGTTGATCTTACATTGTCTTCCTTTATGGATATAGGCTTTTGGTGTCAATTTTTTGCATAGTGTGATAGAGAGTTCAATTTTCAGATTTTTTCTTACTCTATTGTACATGGTCTCCTACAGCTTTAGGGTAGGTCTTGGTATCTACTAGTGTAAGTTTTCTACTTTTGCATTTTTGTTCAAGACTGTTTTCATTATTCTTGACACTTTTTGTTCTTACATAAAATTTAGAATCAAATTGTTAATTTCCCTAAAACCATTTTTACCAGTGCATCTTTGCATCTGCCCTCATCCATGGTGCACACCATTCTTTGGTTGTGCCTCTGATTCCTTCAGGAAGATTGGTCTCTCTGCAGGAATCTCACGCATATTTGTTTAAATTTATTCCTAAGGGCCTGTGTTTTGGAGGGTGTTACATCATCAATAAAAGGCAAATGATTAGTCATATTAACAGACCAGAATATAAATAAGAACATTTAAAAATTTCAGTTATAAACAGTAATGTTCCAAACCTGTATCAAATTGCTTTGTTAAATTTACTTAATAGTCAAATTCCATGAGCAAATAATTGGGGGTTTTCTATGTGAAAGCCACATCATCAGCAAACAGTGAGAGATCCTTTCCTCCTCTCACATCCTGTCTCCATGCCTCATTACAGTGGAGAACCTTCAGGGCACTGCAGATTCAAGCAGAACCATAGTCACGACATTCTCATCCCCCAAACCTTCAGATAACATTAGAAATCAAAGTAATATACTTGTTTGTCTTTCACAACCTACTGATATTTTTCTTATGATTGGATGATGAAATTCATCAAATGTTTTTACTTTCCTGGTGGGATCATAGTATCTCAATTTTCATTTGTAAACTGTTAAACTGTAGTCAGTGATTTTCAAATATCAATACATTTCACTGAAACTCCATTTTCCTTGAAATATTTTATTTTCATGTATTTCTGGAATGAACACGCTAAAACATTTTAAGAACTCTGTCTCTGTCTCTCTCTCTGTCTCTCTCTCTGTCTCTCTCTGTCTTTCTTTCTCTCTCTCTCTCTCTCTCTCTCTCTCTCTCTCTCTCTGTGTGTGTG